TTTTTAAAAAATTTAAAACGGGCCACAGAGGCTATTTGTTTTTATAAGGCGGCCTTTACTGAACGAGTATTTCTGATCTCCGTTCTTCATTGTCAGCTGGCTGGCCCTGTAGCGCTCGTTCAAGTGTTTAAAGGTCCACTCTGCAGGCGCATGCTGAGGTCTGCCTGACTGGAGATCAGGAGAGGCAGAGAAGGCATTTGATATGGCGCAGTCTGGTGCATTTGTGGCCCTGCAAAACAAGAACGTGCTGTGTGACTGTGGGGCAGCTTCTCCACGGGTTTAACCACCGGCCCACTAACCCATCGGCCCACTAGGGAAATCTCCGGTAGTCCTGTATGCCAGTCCACCCCCTGGTCAGAGCAGGGATGCATCCAAAAGTAGCAGGATACCAGCACTCAAGGAGCTGCAGACCCTGGCACTAGATCCCGCTAGTCTTGCAAAAGATGTCGCGTGACAATACAAATGTTAGAAGTCGACCTCACAGATTTGCACCATTTCCTTGTTTTGGTCCACACACCTGCAGGGCAACTTTTTCACAAATACATCTCAGGTTGTTGATGTTTTTTGGAGCAAAATTATTAATTTGGTTTAAAATATCATTTATGAATAGTTTTTCACAAATCTTTTATCAGTTGCATCTATACTTTTCATTTCACCTTTTTCCCAACAAATACTCATGTTATGAGTACCCCACATGTATATAGTAATATAGTGGTGCCTAAACAAATTCACAAAGGTTCAGTTCTATATTAACCATTCCTGGCTTTTGTCAGGCAATCTGGCAAAAGATACAGAAGACTTGATGATCATCCTGTCACTCACTGGAGATAACACAAAGTTTAGAAATGTTTAGGTGATACAGGAGAACCAGAATTTAACTAGTTTATGAAAAACCTCATTAAATTACAGAACTATGGTATGAAAAAAAGTCCCTTTGCGCTACATAAAATGTACCACAAACAATATGTAATAAATCCAAAGCCACAGTCATGTGGAAGCATTGTATCATTAAAACAGTGTACACTGAAACACTGACAGCATAAAGTTTACACTTAACACTCATACTGGACTCAAGGTTATTCAGTTAAAAAGATACAGACTGGCTAACTGTTATAGCCAACATATTGACACACAACATTATTTTCATATTTAGATAATTTAAAAAATATTTTAACAAATGAAATTATTTGAGTTGAAAAGCATGTAGGATGTCTTCAGCTCAAAGCAAAATGCTCAAAAAGGAAACAAACTGACATAATCAGCATCAAGTACAAGGCACGTGATTTTAAAAAAAGTTAACTGCAAAATATTAAGACATTTTCAGCACAGCAAGAATGCCACGATGTAAAACACGTTCTGAGTGTGCGCGTAGGCAGATTTCAGAGAAAGAGGGAGAGAAAAAGAGAGAGAGGGAATCTCTTTCGTATCAGTTTCAGAGGAAAAGCTGTGCAGAATCAGACTGCATGCATGACGTGTACACACACACACGCACACACACACACGCACCTTTGGTCTTACTTATGCGCTCATCCCTCTGTTTCCACTTTTTTCAGTCCTCCAGGCCGCCATTTTGTGACTTCTCAGCAGAGAAGAAAAAAAAATCCCAAAATGTCCACCATCCAAAATGAACTCGGTAAAAGAAAACTTCAATCGTACTCCATTTCTGAGAAAAGGAGTGGGGGGAAGGTGTTTAATTCCACCGCATGGTTTTAGTTTAGCAATGTTTCCTCTTGTAATTTTATATGGAATTCAGTTTTGCAGCTTTCTGTCTTGAGGATTTGTGCAGAGATTTGATCAGTTTTCCTCGGCAACTTTATGAGCTTTGAGAAAACTCATTCCTCTTTGAGTGGCTCTGGGCCCATGATAATGTCATCTCACTCTCCTCCCCTTTTCAGAGATTTGTGTGCGATAGAGGCCTCCGTAAGAGACCAAGCGCTAACCTTTACTGCATTGGCTCACACTTAATCCCCTCACCCTGGGGTGACTGGCATACACACACACACACACACACACAGTGCAGAAAGCAGTACAGTGGTACCACGCCCTCCCCACTGGTCGTTTATTGTTGAGTCATCTAAATTCCATGATCTTATTTTAAGATAAAGTATATCACAAATTAATGATATTTTCTCCAATGCAGTGATTTACACTTAATGTATTTTGACTCTTTACTTGCCTTATTTGATGAACTGTTAGGTATAATACTCTAGACTCACTAAATACATGTCTATACAAAGAGAGTTGGGCAAAGTTGAATTTGTTCTCATAATCGGCTGCTGTAAACTGATGTGTTTGTGTTTCAGTTTCTTTATCAAGACATCACAGAAAGAAAAAGCTTAACATAAATCTAAACTCTTCATTTAATCAGCATTAGATGCTGAGTGTTTCCTGGATTAACAGTCTTTCTCTTCTGTCATTTATTCATTAACTCCAGTTGAGGTTTTGCTTTGTTTTCCTAAATATGGATAGTTTTCCTTTAGGGAGCCTTAAACTTTCCCCACAGAAAAGGTCCAGAGGCGCATTTTCATTTTAGCGATGTTACGATTACCAAACAAAATGCTGAAGGCAGTAAACGGTGGAAATAACTTTAAATGAAAAGTACTGACAAAAAGTAATAGTTTTAAATTGATCTGTAAATGAACAACTTTTAACAAAATCCAACATGGATCCTAAGGCGTCGTCATCCACTGATGTTTCCTCTGAGGATTTATAACCCAGGCAGTAGAGTTCCAGCAATAAGCTTTAACCACAATATGACTGAAAATCAAAGATAAAGCAAGGAGGTTAATGATCATCTTCAGAACTTAAAATGGTGTAAATATATTTTCAGTCTGTCCCAATTAAAGCTTTTCATTTAGCAGTTGTTTTTTTTCTGCCTCAGTTTTGAAACAGAATATAAAAGGCATACAGATCCACTGCTATTACATAAATGTTTGGTTCAGTCATTTTAACACCTTGCTCTTTGAGTTCTAGTTAATTATTTTTGCCTCATGTTCTATGAGCAGCAGTGACTGAACTAGCTGGTTTTAAGGGAACCATGGTCAGTAATTTATGACCGACCAGCTATCCTAACACACACAAGCTTAAATTACATTTTTTATTTTTTGCTTAAACCTAAGCAAGTCCTCAGCTAAATATCAAATTTGCCAATCTTACGAAAAATGTTGCCACATTTGTTATGGCAACAATAAAAACTGTTTTATTAATTGAATAAAACTAAATAATTTGTCCTAATTTTATAAATGCAATATGAAGAAAATATTCCAATCTATCTGGTAAATCTAATCCTTTGCTCAGACATTTGTTTACCCTGGTTAAAATAAAAAAACATCATAAGTCTGTTTCAATCACCCATATTTTATATGAAAAAAGCCTAAAATTGTCCAAGAATCATATTTTAAATCTACATATGCTTAACATTTTATTACTATAGTAAAGTACTATTAGTTAATACTGTTAATTATGTATTGATTAACCTTGTTAGTTATATGACTGCCACCAGTTTGCAGTTCTTCTATGTCATGATCAGGCTAATTAAATACAGCTAACACAGACTCACAAGAATGACAAGAAAAAAGAAAATCTGTTTTCACGATGGTAAATTTTCTCCTGATCAACGTTTTGTGTTTTGGATTGTGTGGCAGATCGCAACACACACGCAATAATTCAAATTTTAAAACACAGTTCCATTCAAAGTTACATGGAGTCACTAAATGTACACATTCATTCACACGTGTATTTGTGTCTTGTGTTTCCCCTCAAAAAAAAAAGACATTGTTATCCACGACTTAAAGCTCATACATGAACACACCTCCACTACACAATCACACAGTGTGGCTCTCAAACACACGCTCTGTCCTTGATACCCTCAGTAGGAGGGTGGGCTCTGCAGACAGGGTGCCACGTCCCTTAGTGGAGCTTTGGATTATGGGATAGCAACATGAGGTAGGCAGAGAAGGTGCAGACAATGAAAGAAAAGCGGAGAGGAACGAAAGATTAAAAGAACAGGCAGATTGGGGGAGCAGGGCAGATGCGACAAAAAAAGAATGAAATTCATCAAAGAAAGAGACTGTGATTTAAAGAAAAATCTTTATAGTTAACAGAGAAGCAAAGAAGGAGAAGAGGGAGGAGGGGGGTTGGGTACAAAACGCAGAAGTATGGATGACTATAGAGCAACGGATATGCTAAATGAATGAAAGTGAAGATGAAGTGAGGATGAATATGGAAAAAAGAGGATGAAACCAAATGAGCAAATAAAGACTTACCATGTGCTGTTCCCCACCGTTTCACTCCTTCAGAAGTTCTGCGCTGAAAGTTGGAAAAGCTGCCGAAAAGGTGAGAGAGGAGAGAGGAGAGTCAGAGGTGGCCATTCATTTTTTAAAGGAAAGAACTGAATTAAAACATACTAAACCCAATTAAAGTGAGTGAAACCCAAACCCAAAAACTACAAAATACTCAAACGATACAACCACATATTTACATGTACTGAAGTGATTGTCTTGATTTTTAACATTGGTGTTTATAAGCAGCATGTGGCGAGTCTATTACAGAATATTATAAATTAAATGGATAAAGACGCTAAGAGTCTTTATCATAAAAAGACGAGTCAAAATTTCTGTGTCAAAGACACACACTGCAGTAGACACACAAATGAACATTGTATGCACAATGCAGAAAGCGGTGTGTATACATTTGAGTGAGTGCAGAAACTGACCTTGCATGTGTGCATGTGTTCGTGGCACAGTAACGCTAAATGATAGCCTTCTAGCGCCATCTACTGATGTTAGTGTTATTAAATAGATTCTGAAGGAGAAACTCAACTTCATGCAGCAGCAGGCAGGTTTATTTAAAATGTGGGAAAAACAATTGAAATTATTTTTTTAGTATATTGAAAATGAAATTATTTTCTGTTTACTTTCCCTTTGTTTATTTATTAAAGTTTTACAGTTAAAAAAAACATTTAGGTGATGCATAAAATACATATATCTTTGATAAGGAAGGTAAAACACAAACTTTAATTTTTCCACATAATGTCTTAGATTCGTTGAAATGCTTTTCTACATAAAATTTGCAGAAATTGATTGAGGTCATGTGCAGGAAATGGTTTAAGATGGTGGACTTTGGGTTATAAAAGTTTCTTTATCAGCATGTACTTTATAAAAATATATATTAAATTATATAACAAAATATAAAATATATATTCAGAGAGAGTATATGGAGTATATCTAACACAGGCATAAAATATTTCAGATCTCTGCAACCCAGTTATAAATGATGATACATATGCAAACATCAAAATCTCATTGAGTTCAGCTGTGAAATTCCTCCATCCACACAAAGTTACATGATCACTCAAACACACAAGTGTTTAATAGAGCTTCAGTCTTTGTGTTTTGAGTGATTGAATCTTGGAGGAGATGAGGGCTGAACTCTAGTGCTTGAGTAGTGTTTCAGATCCAGGAGCAAATAATCAGCTCTGTTGGTGGTAGATCTGTATATTGCATGCCCTGTACTTGGAAGTGTTGCGTACAGGCAGAATGACTTATGACGCATTCACATTTCTTCATAACCATGGATATTATTTGAAATACTGCCAGATAAAAACAGGTACTCATCAATTCATAAATGTTTTCAATGAATTCTGAGGGAGTGTGTAAATTTTACCTAATATTAAATTCTAAACGTGTGCGCTTGAACAATGCATTTCTTGCCAAGTCTTTGCTTGATGATTTTAAAACCAATCGTCAGTGGGATTTATTTTTTCTAACATGCTAAATTGATCACTGTAATGCTCGGCTCTCTGCTCGCTCTAAGCAAAAACAATTTCACTGCAGATATCAAAAAACCCAGCCAGAACAATGTTGAAGAGGACCAGGAGGAGAATTCATGTCATATTGATTTTAAAGACTGTCGTGGCTTACTGTGCATTTTGAAATTGATTTTGTTGTGGTTTGATATATTTATATATTGGGTGTTTTCCCTCAGGCTTTAAAAACACCAGTTGTCAAACCACTAATAAAAAACAATCAGGACAAGTCACTATTGCAGAATTACAGGCCAATCTCCAACCCTTCATTCATCAGCAAAAATACTGAGAGCGCCGTTTCAACTGTTAGTTTCTTATCAATGACCAAATGCTTTGACAGTGACTCTGGTTTCCATGCTCGTCACAGTCCTTAGTCTGCCCTCGTCAAAGTGTTCAGTGACATCCACATGAATACAGGCTGTGGAAGAACCAAGGTCCTGGTTCTGTTGGACCTCAGCACAGCCTTTGACACCGTTCATCATTACATATTACTAAAGCGACAGGAGAACTGGGTCAGACTCTCTGATCCAGGGCTCCACTGGTTGGAATCTTGCCTAAAGAACAGGGACTTCTTTGTGTCATTAAGTCACTTCTCATTGAAGCAGACAAAAGTCACGTGCGGGGTTCACCAAGGCTCAATCCTGGGTCCCCTCATACTCGATATCTACATCCTCTCAGTAACTCAGATTATAACAAGTAAGAATAACTATGCAGATGATACACAGCTCTACATTACAATATCACCATGTGACTCAAACTCACCCAAGTACTGAACAAATGAGTAAAACAAATCAATGTATGAACAGAAACAAAACTGTTGTTCACACAGTTTTGTTTCTGTTGAACAGAAGCAAAACTGAAGTTATTATATTTGGACCTAACACATAGTATATACCTTAAAATACTTTTGTTTTTAAATCCCTGAATGGGTTAGCAGACTTCTTTTTTTAATCAGCCTTCTGGACCACTCAGGTCTTCTGGTTTTAGTCTGCTCTGACTAAAACAGAGAACTCTACCAAACAGAGAAGCAGCATTTTATGCTCCACTAATCTGAAACAAACTTGCAGCAAACTGTGAAAATGCTGAAAAACAGTTTCTTTAAATTGAGGATAAAAACCCATTTGCTTAGAGTTCTTTGCTTGTTTTATGTTTGGTTCCTGTATTGTGTTTTTTTTATCATGCAAAGCACTTTTAACTTCCTTGTTGCTGAAGTGTGCCATACAAACAAACTTAAAACTTGACATAAAATCATTCATGGTTTTTGTCCAACCTATTAATAGTTAGTTTTTACCTTTTAAGGCCTCCAGATCTTCCAGCTCTTCTGAGAAGATCTGCTGTTACTACCTACAATTGAAACGAAAACTGATTTTAGAATTTATCAATATACAATATAAATGTGCTGGGTTATGTTTTATTTGTCTTGTGGTTAAAGCTGAATGAGTCTTACAAAACCTTGGTCAGAGCAGCAGAAGCCTTTACTTTAAATGATTGTACTCCTGACTATTTAAACATTTTCCTCTAACTGCATGCAATAATTTGTTAAAACTAAAGTTTACTGAATGCCACAGTACCTCAATTTGTTTGTAAATCTTTTGAGACCTTTGCTTTAACATTGTTACTCTGAGTCTAAGTCCTAAGAAAATTGCTCTATTGTGTATTTTCTGCCTCGCTTCTATATTGAATTTTTATCTTGGTGCGGATTAGAGATAAAGTAAGTGTTATGGGAATTTGTACCACTTTCATTCTACAATCTGAATGTTAAATAGGCTTTTTTTTAAGAAGCTATTAAAACAAGGAGACTTTCCGCATTTGCAGAGACTGAGTGAGAAAGTTGCTGTAACTTGGGTTGTATTCGTATTTAGTGGTTGGAAGGAGGAAGCAGTAATATTCAGCAGGACAGTCAAAAACTAGTACTAGGAACTCTACAATGTCTGCCTACACACTTTTTATCAATCTTAGAAGATGAACAGTACTTTGAGTTAGCAAGATTAAAATATAAATTTCAGATAAATTTCAGATGTCCATCAACAGGTTTTGTACATACTTGTGAAATCACTAGTCGATACCTTATGCTGTCTTAGAGAAACACACATTTATATCTGATACAGATATTCATCTAAGTTTATGTTGGCAACCTGTGGATTGGGAAGGAATCACAGGAAGATCAACCTTAGCTGAATATCCAAATTAAGATTTTCAACCTTAGTTTAGTTCTGTTGTGTGTTTTACCTGTTGTAAAACTGCTGTTTCTCTCCACTGTCTCCCTGTAATTGCCAACCATGGAGAAATGCACTAAATGATTATATTTAAATGACCAAATCTATTCTTTAATTATATAAATCAAGAAATTTGTATAGCACCATCTAAAACAACTCTAGTTCCACAGCACTGTAACAAATTAAAAAACTAAGAAATGTATTTATGTATAACACAAAGAATAAAGGTAAAACAAAACATTAAAATCGGCTATAATAATGTAAAATGAATCACAGGTATCTCAAAAAAGGTCTCAAAAAACAAATAGGTTTTTAGCTTAGATTTAAAGTATGTGGTAGGAAAATGGTAGGGGCAGCACACATGGAAAGGAGTTTGATTTGATGGTTTGCTCCGTTATTTGTTTTTGCTGACTACCATTTACGTGTTCGTAATTTGACTGAATGTGAACATTAATTAAGGTTTTTAGCTTGCTTATGAGCAAAGTTGGACATAACTTCAACTAGTAAATTGTTGGTATGTGTAGAATATCCATAAACATCTGTTATACGTCATACTGCACGTATGTTGGTTCAAGGAACATTTATGACAATGGTCTATATAAGATAAAAATAAAATAGAAAATAAATAATAATCAAGTAAATCATATGTGTAAAACTCAGGTCAAATTGGCCCAGAGTGTAAACACATTTGGCAATTGGAAGTGTCTATTAGGACTGCCCCAATAGCAGCACAGTTATAGCAAATACAAATCCCAGAATGCTCTGCTGGTGCAGCAACATGTCAAACAGGATCCACACCCTGCACTCCTCTGCTAAAATCCATCAGCAAACTTCATGTGACCAATCACTTCAGGTCAAAAAAGGAAAATAAATCCCCCCCAAAAAGGTGGAAAACAAAACAATACAGCTATCTGTTTACAAAGGTAAATGACAGGAGTTGTGAAATGTTTTTCTCATGTGAAACATTGTATATCAAACACTGTATAATTGCTAGATACGTCTTAATCCCTACAAAAAAATTTAACTGTTTTGTTTGATGTTCTTACTATGAAGGTTAAAAAATGAAGTGGAGCTTTTTTTTTTAAAATAATTTAGTTTGTTATTTTTTTTTTCAGTCTTCTACTCCTTGCAAAAGCAACATTTTGTCTTTAAAATCCACCTATGTAGTTCAGCACAGTGATGCTCGTCTTTCCATTCAACACAAGCTCACAGCTGTACCTCTCCTTTTTCCTCAATTCCTGAGAGTAAGGGGAAGAAGATGCTAGAATATAGAAAAAAGCAACAGAAACTTTTCAGAACCCA